TCCGATCCCCCCTCCCTTTAAAACCCGTCTACCTGTTGAGAGGCAAAGGGGACAAAAGAAACGTGAGATGAGTTGTGTCCAGCTAGCTAGTTAGCTTGTTGTGAGACAATGAAGTCGACGCTGTCCGTCTCCTACACTTCCAACCAGCTAATTACCTCTGCCTGCCTCTCCAACGCACAATCGAAAACTTTTGAAAACACGGAAACTAATAATAAACCAGATGCATTTTTTCCAGTTCCCCTCAAATAAAGTGTCGTCCGATCCCCCTCCCTTTAAAACCCGTCTACCTGTTGAGAGGCAAAGGGGACAAAAGAAACGTGAGATGAGTTGTGTCCAGCTAGCTAGTTAGCTTGTTGTGAGACAATGAAGTCGACGCTGTCCGTCTCCTACACTTCCAACCAGCTAATTACCTCTGCCTGCCTCTCCAACGCACTTCTCAGAGCCGACCAAACGATTCAAATAAAGCCTTTCCCCAGCCCAAAACAACAAGTCACATCTATGAATTGTTAGCAATAAAATACAAAAGAGCTTTAACTCAAATAAACGAATAAATAAAGAAAACGAGGGAATGACCATCTGGCCTCGAGCAACCTTCCCAGGGAACTATCCATGTTGTCCTTCGGACCAGCGCACTTTCCGACTCGCTGATTTCCACAAACCATTTCGAGCCTCATCCAGTGCAACTTACTACGCGAAAAACACAAGCACGGCAACTTTGATGCTATCCTTACGTGCAGTTTTGTGCGCTTGAAAACTATTTCTGAGTGTAATTGTTGATACTAGGGGTCGGGGATCTCCCGCATTCAGCTCGGCCAGTGACTCACCTCTACGTTCAAACCACCTCGTGTCTCAACAATTAGCTTGCTAACGAACGCTCACTTTATGTGATTTTGAAAAAAATGATTTTGACCAATTCGTGAAGGATATAAAGAGTACAAGCGTTGTTTTAGACCTTGAAGAAAAATGAATTGTTTGTACGCAATTTAGCGAACGCCTTTCTCGCGTCCACTCCTATAGGGGTCCGTGCGGCTCTATACAATGCAGTGCGTGTGAGCTAAACCAGCTAATGTTAGCATGTGCTCGAGCTACTTTGAGAGTCTTCGATAAGTTAAAACACAAAGAAACGAAAACACTAGCGTGCGGTTTCGGTTTTCCCTGTGAAGATTTGAATTAAAACAACTTTTCGCTGTTTTAAAACACGGTTTATACCGCGGGTACCACCATGGTAGAAAACAAGTTAAATGTACGGTCAAAAACACTTTTCTCCCAATGAAAGTACGGGTATATTTGTACAACAATGGCAAAAACGTTTGAAACTAACTAATACGTTTGTGTACGACTGATAAAGTCGGTGGATCTATATTGTATCATTAAAGAAAGGCGATTCCTTACCCTACTCAACGCGGGTCAGTTTAGGGGTTTCACCAATTAACTTGTCTTCGTATATCCCGAAAATCCGTTCAAATAGGTGTATAACTGGCGAAATTCAGTCGGTAAAGTCAGCGTCCCGTGCCCGCCGACTCTGCTTCTCTCCTTTGTGTTAATTTCACTCAATTCGAGTTTAATCCGATCGATCCAGGCAGCCGCGTTCTCGTGTCCTCTCCTCTAGACACTCGCGCTCACCTTCCACAGGCAGGGGGCGCGTGCATGACTTGCGGGATAAACATGCGTGCGCGTGAGTGACCTCGCCGGGCTGTGACGCAACTGCTTTTAATAAATAAATAAATAAAATATATTTTTTTTCTTTTACTTTCCAGGTCTTTATCAAAAAACTGTGAACCGTATTGTTTCGATACTGCAGTTTTTCGTGGACAAATTCTTTAATATTTTCATACAATATTTCGACTTTTTGAAACTTTATAACGTTTGTCATGTTTTATCTAACAGTCCTTTTAGTAAAAGAACGTCATGCGTAATAATGAACCCTTGCTTGTGTTTTATCTTTAAGTTTTAAAGCGTGTTTGTGCGCTAGCTGAGAAACTCGTGTAGAGATCGCAATGTACAGCTGTTTTATATGTAAACAAATGAGTGCGCGAATCATATAATTTTTTTTGTCTTTAACAGTTAAAAGAAGAACCAAACAAGACAATTAAACATGCTGTGGTTGCTTTTCCATTCACTACTTTACAATTATTAGAACAATTATACGCAACCAAGCAACACATATACAAGCGGAATTTACCTGTATCGTTGACCAGCCAATCACTGTTGGCGGCGGTACCCCGGATGTTCAGGCCTGCCCGTGATCTTTGTCAGATCTATATGCACGTAAACACATTTGGGTTGTTGCATTCCTCTGGCGCCATCACACACAGTGTTTTGTTGTTATAAGTTGTATGATCAGATAATTTCACTTGAACTAATTTTCTATGCAAAAAATTAGACACGAATGGTACGAAACAGATTTTTTGTCATATGCAAACCACCACAAAGCTAGCCCCTGTCGCACAAAAAAAAAAAAAAACACACACATATGCAAACTCAGTTTAGAAGGTTTTATTATATTTTTTTTCGTGATAGCATTTAATTTGAGAACACAGCAAATAAAGTCGAGGGTCACAAAGTTACTCCAGGTTTGGCTTTATCACACCCCTTTCACAACAGACAAGATGTTCACCATAAATCTATTAACAACATAGTGCCAAGAGAAAGCAAGTCTTTACACAATCACTCAGACACCTAAATTAATGTGGATCTGCACTGACTTTACACAGCGGACTGCATTGGAGAAAATTAACTTTGAAGAGAGGGAAAAAAATAGATACATTTATATGCATACAAATGCATGCATATGTGATGACTTGTATGGATATATAGGTATAGGCATGTATGCGTGAATGTCTGTCTAATGGATAAGTGAGTCTAGCGTTATCATATGCAATATACAATTGCACGTAATTACTGAAATGATCCTGTGTAACATGAATATGTTATTTTTTTTCTGAAGTCCCTAAATCTTTTAAGGCAAACAGCAGATCTAGTTTTGGAGATGTGATCCATATCTGGAGCCATGATTTTAGAACACAGGTAAACACAAATTTGGCATTAAAATAGGAATATAGAGCCAGAGTTTCTATACACGGAGGAGGATTGAGGGCACGGATACGAGGAGTCAAGGCAGATGGCAGGACCAAACTAAAATAAATGAAGTAAAAGATTACCTTAAAATGGTGTCAAAGCGGTTTTGGAAATAATCGCAATACTGTTGCAGTTTCAAGCTCTATTCATACAGTATAGAATTTAAGCAAATTCAGTACAGAATTCTAGCTCGGTCAACATACACCAAAGCAAGAAATGATAACTATATATACAGAATGTGAATGATAAATACAGATTTAAAACAGTCCTGCTTTTTTCTTCTTCTTCAAACTTCTTCACTTTGATAACAGCCGTTCCTTTTTTTAGACCAGCTCTACGTTGCTTTTATTTTGATTTCAGGGTTCACCACAGTTTTCATTGAATTCAACCACATAAACTGATTAAAATACTATAGATTACTTTTGTAGTGTTTAATACAGTTCAGCTTGAAGTCAAATGGGCAAAACAAAAACAAACAAACAAAAAAACAACTTGCTGAGAAACAAACATGAATATATTTACCATAATAACTCCAAAGCTGCTGTCTTTTTCTTTACTACTAACCATATAATGTCTGCTGTAGCCCAAACAGGCTTCAGGAGTTTGTCAGGAGGTTTGAAGTGGACCTGGACTTTATAAATATTTTCTTTTTTGTATCGTTTTGGACAGCCATCTAACATATGATTTGAATCCGGGGCCTGGGCTGTGGGAGGTTAAGAAAATGTTAGTGAGCCCGACCAGTCCAGTAGAAACGTAAGGGGCGGAGAGAGACGTGGAGAAGACTGGAGGGTAAAGGGTAGTGCTCAGCAACAGCCCCCTCCGGCTTGCTGTCCTCCCTGACTGCCGCCCATCGTGGAGTTGGTGGCAGCATGCTGGGGTCCAATCTTAATGCCGTTAGCCTGCGCACACAAATCAAACACACGTAAGACACTTACCAACACTCATTTCCATTTCTGATGGCAAGACCTCACATAAGTTAAAAGAACTCATGTGAAATTATGGTTATTTTGTACTGTCAGATAACTCTGTATTAAGCATAAATACCAGCCCCTGTAGGCCTGAATTAGTGGGCCACTTTTGTCAGCACTGTGGCGGGAGTGTTATTCCAGCGGTAACACAGACACAGGGAAACCTGCCAAAGCTTTAAAAACACACACACACACACCCAAGCTGGTGGCACTTTCATTCATCACACAAAGGTGTCCTCCGTGCCAACTTTTCCCTTAACCGCTTAAGCCCGCTCACGTTCAAAAACGACACGCCGTAGCAAGGCTGCGCTTTTGTAACATTCTCAGGAAACTACATTGCGCCAAATCTGATTTATAGTGATCTGAGGTGAGCTCACATGTGAGCCTTAAGGGTTCCTGGCCAGGATCTCTATCAGCTGATGTGGTTTGGACTCTGTGCCCTAACCTAAAAAAAAAAAAAACCTTTTCCAACTACTCCAATAAAATAGCTGCAGTGGGCGTACCTCCATCAAATGGCTTTAACTTACAAGACGTGAGGAATTTATGTGTTGTCTACCAGCCAATAGAGAGAAACTGAAGGGCCGTAGGGCTTGTGTGGAGCTGTCCCTGGAGTACATCTGCTTTCCAGGAAAGTCATCATCCTGCCCCTTTATCTCACTTCAGTCATACATGCATTTATACCATTTTACAAGTATTCACTACCATTACATTCCAGAACATTTTATCGGCTGTTACAATGCCTGAAATCACATGCAAACAAGTATAATAATAACTGATATGCTCCACTGGCTATTACATCTGAATTTGCATAGATTTGAGGACAACAATGTGGCTACTGTGGGAAAACATCACCACAGTGCAAAAGGTATCAATCATTCAATGTGAGACTAAAATATGATTTTACTCTTTTATTAAACCTATTTTTTGATGAAAAACAATGACGTACAGAAAAATGTCTCACCTTGTGATATCATAAACTAGCAGAGCCCCAGCTGCACCTCTGTAGTAGGACCGGGTGATTGAGCGGAAGGACTCTTGTCCGGCCTGAAACACAGAGATCACACCACCAGTAATAGTCTGTTTTCGAGGAACAATCAGGTACCAACAATGTCCACTGGGTATGTTGCGTCTTCACCACAATCCCTCCAGGCTGGTGTTGCCCTAGGAACTCCAGCTCTAAAAGACCACAGTGTCTTCTCACCACCGACTCTCCATCCCACAATGCTTCTCTAGTCTAGAGCATGACGCCTGTCCAATCTGCCGGCCCCCAGTGCACAGACACCGTTCATCGGCGTGTCACAGTGTAAGATGGCCTCTGGTCAACCCAGCCCCTTTGACAGCAGGCAAATAAGCCAGGAGCACGTATTTGAATTCAATAACCCATTCCCCGGGGCAGCTGTTAACATTAGAGTTAATGGAGCCCATTGTGAATAAATGATGAATGACCCCGTTATGCCTGCCATCTGCTGGAGTGAAAGGTTACAGGAAGGCCAGACATGCAGATTTCTCCTGTTACTTCATCCAACACTCCCCCATCTTCTCTAGTTTTATCACACAGCTTGTTGAAATAACCTTGAAATAAATTATTTATTATGCATTTAAAGACACACTACAATCTAGTTGACATCATCGCAAACAAAACCACAGTGAACCACAACTGCATGATTACCCCTAATTATCCCAACATTTCATTTTTCATAAGACAGCCTCACCCATGCAAACCCCCTAGAAACAGGAAAACATCTTATTTAATGCTTTACATGACTTAATTTAACTTGCGCAAGGATCATTAAAAAGAAATAACTGGTGTGCATCTCTTAATTACTTTTTAATAGACTATATAACTGTACGAAAGGAAAAAAAACAAGACATTTTGATGTATAAAAAAACACTGATGCTATGACCACAATATCATGGACATTGATATGTTGTCTCCCTCTGCTGGCCAAAATGTTTGTGCAGCTGGGACATTTTCTTTTACCAACATTGTTCATGACTGCATTTGTTATACAAGGAAGATTGAACAAGTCTGCTCCTGAATATGTCAAAATATTGACTGCTATACTGTAAAAACATTTATACATGTTGGCAAAGCACTGATCCAAGTCAACTGAGAATGTTTTGAAAAGCTCTCATTTAAACAAACACTCAACTACATGGAATGCTTTTAAAAATGAAGTACTTCTCAAGGTGGCATAGTTTGAAAGACATAAAATGTCTACGTGATTCATTGAAATATTTTTATTTAGGTCTTTCCCTATGAAGAGATGCAGCTGTAATCACAGAAAAAAGAAAAACAAGGGAAAGAAAACATACACAACATTTCAAAGGTTTAAGAAATTATTAAATTGATCAAAAGTGACAAAAAAAGTATATGTTACAAAAGATTACTATTTTTAAAAAAAATGCTATTCTTTCGAACTTTCTATCCTGAACAAAATGTATTATGGTTTCTTCAGATATTAAGCAGCACAGCTGCTTGTTACAATGTTTCTTGTTTCTTGAGCAGCATACTAGAATGATTTCTGAAGATCATGTGACACTGAAGGACTGCTGAAAATTCAGTTTGGCCATCACAGGAATAAGACACATTTAAAAATATATTAAAATAGGAAACAGTTAATTTAAATTGCAACAATTTTACAATATTACCGTTTTACTTTGTTTTTGATCAAATAAATGCAGCCTTCGTGAACATAAAAGACTTCTTTCAAAAATATTAAAAATATTTTACAGACATTTTTTTGAATGTTACTGTATACAGTCATGATTAAATATTAAAGAGCACTTAAATACTTTAAAAGAGTGTAACTACTTTCCTGAAAAGGAGATTATTTCCTAGGTGTTTCATATTTCTATGTTTCTTGCTGTATTGGCTAAAGTTAAAGGTAGTGATTTTTTCCCCCCTTAGCAGTACTAGCATAAATTAGCATACTGCCAGACAGATGAGTGAAATAGGTGCCTTAAGAAATCAAATTGTCTCCCTGTCAATCACTTTGAACCTGGCATCAGGTTTGTTGACATGTCTTTGGAGGGCAGGGCTTTAGAAAGAGAGCACGTGGATGAAGCGAGGATGCAGTTAACCTGCCCGTTAAAGCTGTTACTACACCATTTGGCTGCAAAGAGCATCTTCCGCCACTGACAACCAACCATTACAAAAAAAAACAACAACAACAAAAAAGCCTGTGGATTCAGAAAAAGGAAAAAATAAATAAAAAAACTGCTTTTGAAAGTAACATTTACTTAGTAGATCATTTTGGGAGGGCTCTTAGAAAGGTGAAATTGCTTATTTTTCTCTCTTTCGGCAGTCTTTGACATCAGAGCACAGGATAGTCACTAGTAAACTGCAAGGGACATTATTATTGTGCCATTCAGCAATGCCATTGCATCATTTTCCTGTGTCTCTAGAGTCATTAGTCACATGACATTCAGGTTCAATGCCATGTGACAGCTCAAAGCAACCTGGCACAGAACTGGACCCCCCATGAGCAGCCTTAGGCATATTGCTGCATTAGCATTTCTGTATGGCCAAATCTGTCTAATCAGGAAATGCACGTTCCCACAACACTGCCCCTTTCATATATCAGCCATAGTAACACTCATATCATTTACTAAGGGCTAACCAACCTGAATAACCAGATGAGATCAAAACAAACTTAAACAGCAGAGCAAAACAAGCAAAATCATTTTCTTCACAGATAAGGTACATGAAAAATCCGATGATTTTAATCTTACCGTATCCCAGATCTGAAGTTTTATCTGTTTGCCATCTATAGTGATCATTCGCGCACCAAATTCAACACCTGTCAAGACAAATGAAGGCAGAGCTTGATACATGACTCATGTGAAAGCACAGGGCACTGAACATATCACCTCAGATTTGCATCAACAATACTGATCAGATCTTTCATTTTAAAGCATTGATGATATAAAACTTGACAATAGTTATCAAATGCCAACTTTAAATAAATTTGAATAAATTTATTTACCCATGGAGTAGATAGAGCCTGTTCAACCACACCACAAACTTCACTTTTATGTGCTTTCAAAAGGTTCCTTACAAAAACACTTCAAGGAGACTGGCACCAGTCTGCTTCCTGTGCTAATGAGTAGGGTTGGGTATTGTTTGAATTTTATCGATTCCGATTCTTTTCGATTCCCAGTTTCGATTCCAATATGATTAAATAATGATATCAAATATATTTATATTATATATTTAAATATATATTTATCTTGTGACTCTTTTTTAAAAACCATTTATTGGAGCTGAATACCATGAACAAAAATCAACAGGCTACATAAAAACTGGACTCTTTAAGAGCTGTTTGTGTGCAAAACAGAACTGCATGATTCTGGATAAATTGAGTTTTTTTCCCCCAATGGAAGTTGTGGTTCGCTCATGGTTCTGAAGAAAAAAAAACATTAGACGGCAAAACAAAATCACATGTAATTTATGAATGAATGATTCAATGACTCACTCAAGATGTAGCCTACTTGTTTCATTACTGGATGAATCAGCATTATTGAAGAATCTCTTGTATGATTCAAAGACACATACATTTTAACAGCCCCTTTTCGCCACCTATTGGCGTAACAATGTAATCGATAAATCTTCATTTGAAGTGTCAAACTACTTTCAAAAGGTGATTTACTCTATTTTAATCGCTACCATACACACCGTTTATATCTGAACTATAAACTTTTATCCCAGTACTTCTGTGATTTGAATGTTTGTAACAGAAATAATGATACTGTGTGGCTGAAAAGACTGTGAAGCTGTTTCATTCATGACAGATGACCGCTGCTCTCTTTAGGTCAATGGCAGCGCGAACGCAGATTTAAATGTTCAAATCACACTGGTGTGATCGTACGCTGCACTGACGAACCAACAAGTGATCACAACATTGATCGAACACGTCAAAGGTTGAGGAATGAAACAGACGAATCATTGTAATTTAGGAATAGAATCACGTTGTCGTTTGAATCATGTTCGCGATCTTTAACAATCTATTAAATTAAAGTGCTTTGTCATGCTGGTGGTGACACCTCTCTTGCAACATGTTTATCACAGATATTATACTTAGTTTTTTTGGCTTCTGATCGCAAATGTAACCAAACTTTGAAGCGCTTAGATTAGCGAGCAAGGTCCTAGCAGATCGCTAGGTCCGGTCCTCACAGACGTAGAAAACAAAAAGCGCATAGGAATCGATAGGCGGAATCGAAATTTTAATTTGACAACAAGTATCTGATTCCTGACCTTAAGTATCCGATTCTGGAATCTGAATCGATTTTCGATTCCCAACCCTACTCATGAGACCCATTCCTGCTGTTTTAATTAATAAGAGAAAATGTGGTTGGGTTAAAAGAGTCTTACCGATCGTGAGATCATGCACTGGCTGAAAGCGCTTATCTGTAAACTGTAATAATAGGCACGACTTCCCCACACCTGCAAAGCAAACACAGAAGGTCACACGTGAATGGCCACAATTTGCCTCAGGCCTATACATCTGCTGTATCCCATTACATCAAAATCATTTGTTCAGGCTATAAGTGAAAAACTGTAAAAAGTGACGGTTATTTCTGTTTTGAGTCTAAAATAGGCCTTACTTCCCAAGAATGTGCATGAACATACATGGCTTAAGGCCACTGTAATACAATCTCATTATTACTAGAGCCCGACCGATATGGGGCCGATACCGATACTTAGGGACTAAAAAAGGCATCGAAAGGCAAGATATCGATGTATCGGCCGATATTCTTTGTGTATATTATAGTACAGTACCAGTCACAAGTTTGGACACTTTCCCATTCATGTGTCCACACATTTGACTGGTACTATATATAGAATACAGTATATACATAAACAGAATATATATATATACATAAACACATTTTTTGCAATGATCACTCAAATGATCACTTATAATGATGTGACAGAGATACGTAATGGAGGCAGGGCATTTAACAATAAACTTTATTATCCAAAATGAGTCTGACCAGTGCACTGAACAGTAAAGTTGAAGTTTATTCAACTTTAATTAAATTAAATTCCATTCAACTTTATTCCGTTAAAGTTTATTTCACTTCGGAACATTCATTCACGGATTTGCGCTACTGTCTTCACACACAGACGAAACTTACTAAAGAAGTGTGAAATAATATACCTCTGTAAATAAATACAACATAAATTCACGTCTCGCGCACTTTAATGCCCTTTGAATGTAACGTGTATGTTCCCTTGGAACTGGAATCATGGCGGAATTTCATGTGAAGTCCACTTCGCAGGGCACTTACGGTCGAATAAGACAACTCTTGAATGCTGCTGCTTGAACAAGTCCTTACTGAAGTGAAAGTGTTGACTGGTGTCACTATCTCGCGAACGTGCCTGCCGATATCCACCAAATTCGGGGGATCACTTCAGCTTGAGGAGCCCTCTCGAACGCCACCCTCCGCGTGTCGGTAGCCTCCGGGATCACTTGATCGGTTGGCACCGGTCCGCGAATTTAACCACCCGTAACTCCCGAACCCCAGAGGCTATCGACGTGGGGGTGGTCTCATTCGAAAGCGGGCCTCAAGACATACACTCGATCCGCATTTGAGAGGGTTCCTCGAGCTGAAGGGATCCCCCGAATTTGGTGTGGATTCACCGCGCTGTTACGGAGATATGGTCGTTCAAAGTTTCAATGGTTTTCCATAGACTTAAGCTTCAAAAGCATTTCATCCAGGTCGCCAGTAGCAAACAATGGATATCGGCGGCATATTCGTCAATACCGATGTATCGGTAACAGGCTCATATCGGCAAAACGATATATCGGTCGGCCTCTAATTATTACTGCTAAAATGAAATAGAATAAAATAAATAACTCATGCACAGAGATCAATATCAGACAAATAGAAAAGACAAATAATTAAAGTGAGACACATTAGGGCATATACAGCATCTAATACCAATTACCTGATGGACTAATAGCAAAAACAAAGACGTCTCTCATATTCAATGTTCAGTGTGTAATGTTATTCGAAAACAAAGCAAACAAGCAAATAAATAAATAAACAATCTCACATTTATTTTGTTTTTCTGTGTACTTTAAATTACATACTTGTTTCTTATTAACAAAATGTCACCTGCTCCTTGGATTTGATTCCATATTAAATTAACTACATTAACTGAATTAAGTAAAATCATCAGTTCAAGACATTTTATATTACCAGCATAACTAAATAAACCCATCCCACAAAATGAGATTAGAGGATCTGCCATGATACGCAAACAGGTTAAATGCTTATGACATTAGGAGGAGGCGTTACCATGAGCAACAGCCGTTGCTAAGCAAACAAGCAGATTTCAAAGAGCGCTCACAAGAGAGATGTATGGAGACAACCTAACAATGATGAAATTACAATGTGTAATGTGCAGACTCACCTACAACAAACACTACACTCGACCTACAGAACAACATAGCAACTATCTTGGAGAAAAAAAACAGGCTTATTAAAATGCTTTCACGACCTGTTGTTTTGTCTTTTGTGAATAATGGTGACAACAAATAATTTGTCAACAGCTGGATGTTATCGCTTCAGTGTATAATACCCTGTAGTACAATACCTATGCCAATATGGTCACGGCAAGCAGCTGAAATCAAACTAATAGGGATGAGATGCTTTCAAACACTTAATTGTATTTGGTTTAATTGGTTTGCCTATATGAATGTACCACTTTATTAAGAAAAAAAACCTCTCTCCTGTCTCAAGTGAAATGTAAAGTAGCACTTCTTGTATGATTGCATATTGTGAAACCAATCACATGCTTATTTTATTCTCATTTGTGGGTAACTTTGAATAAAAGCTGAACAAATAAATACAAATGTAGTTTGTCCTAGAACTCAAGCAAAACATCACCTTGTGTCAGTTTTAACACAGCAAACTTACACCTCAAGCATGAACACAGACTATACTAGATGCAATCTCATGATGCCTAGTAGACTAGCTAGATCAAGTTTCAGATGAGCATCATCTGACCTGGGTTGAGCAACATGCAAAGGCATAAGCCTGTTTACACATCACTTTACAACCACAACTGCCTAAAATGTGACTGACAAACCCAATTTCTCTGTTGTTCAGCATTTTGTGAAATGCATTTGGGATTGAAGAGTTTATGATGGTTGCTTTTGACTGAAGCACAGTCCAAGGCCTGATACAAAAGGAATAATCTCAGTCACTCTAAACAACTGCAGGTGGAAGAGTCAAGTTAGGTAACCTGTTGAAATGTAGTGGCTTCAGAACATACTGATCATCGGATGTTATGGCACAACCTGTACTAAGTGAAGATTAAATGGATACTCCACCCAAAAACTAACATTTTGCCATAATTTATTCACCATCATGTCGTTCCAAATCTGTATGGCTGACATTCTTCTGTGGAACCTAAAATATGTTATTTTGAGAATACGTTTTTTTTTTTGTCCATATGATAGAAGTCAATGATCACCAAAATTGTTTGGTTATCAACATTTTTCTAAATATCTTCTTTTATGTTCCACAGAAGAAAGTCATACAGGTTTGAAATTACATGAGGGAGAGTAAATAACAGAATTTTTGGGTGTACCATTCCTTGACTAATTTATGTTAGCTGTCATGTTTTGAGCATACTCACATTGACAGACACTGTTTAGATGTAAAGAAAAAGTAAATATATAAATAATCTATGCGGTTCAGTTTTCGAAAAATGTTGAGCACCACTGCTATGTCTCCACATGAGGCTGGAAAGACGCTTCTCAGTAAATGAAACAAACTTACCTATTATTCTGTTGATGAAAAGCTTGTTAAAGGTTATGTTTGCAACCCAAAAGACCCCAGTTTCAAGTACACCAAAATAAAGGGAGTCTTCCTTATGAAGGTTTGAGTGCAACAAAATCCTCAATACGACATTGGTCCTACAGTTGAATCTAGACCTTACTAATGTAGAAAAACACTGAGCATAAGATTATTATAGGCTAATTTATGCAGGGAAGAAAATTGTGGCATTATTTGGGGGGGAAATGTCTCAGTCCGACTTTATATTAAGTGTCTTTAACTACTACGCACTTACATTTTTAAAAATGCATTGCAAAACACTTGCTGCTATTGAGGTGGGATATGGGTAAGGTTAGAGTGGGGCTTTATGGTATGGATAGGTTAATGGGTACTTTTAGTGTAATTATAGATTTAACTACAAAAATTACTTACAGATGTAATCAAACGGGAGTATTTTTTTTAATACAAATGCAACAAAAACATGTCTGTGCACAACACTTAAATTTTTTTTTTTAACACTTCATATAAAGTGGGTCTGAAACAAATAAACAAACAAAAGCAAAACCAACAGGTAAGCTGGAATGAAGTGGATGCAAAATCATATGGACAGTGTTGGATGGCATTAAACATCTTTAGCATTTTATGAATGTGTTTCTAATCTAGCAAAACAATAACTCCGTAAAAAAAAAGAAAAGAAAACTGTGTGTGTAATTAAATGACGGATTAACACTTCTGAAGGGAGTAATACATCTTCTACTGTTGCCGTATCTAACGTTATTGGGAAAAGGCCTACAATGTGAGAAATCTGGTGAGAACACTAGCAGGCCACAATTACACGGGGTTACCAACATCGAAACAAACTGTAGGATCCTGACTTATCAATGTGAGGCTTGAGTAATAAAACAAAGGAAGGTCTTTTAGAGTCATTGCTTATTAAACGTGTTTATCCTCTGAAAACGCAAATAAGCCAACGCCATTTTCACAAAGAGTAAATAGCTGCTAGCGATGTTGGCTAACTAGCCAGGCTGTTGTGGCCTTCGGTTGGGCTAGAATAAGTTGCAAGCAAAGCAAGGGAACACTGAGCTAGACGCACTGACACGTACACAGCATGTTGGTTTTTCGCTCTACGTGTCATGCTAATAGAAAACAGAGATGCTGCTGTTGTTTTGAGGCAAACAGCTGATGTGAAGCAGCGGTTAGCTTGCCTGCTAGCTCCCCCCACCCAGCAGAAAACAAAAGACCGTGACAGCCTCACATCCACACACCGCTACCGTGACATGATGCACATGCTTAGGAATTGACTTTATGTATGCGATAATAGTAAGGCTAAGAGCTAATGAGGCAGATGGAGAGAAAGGCAGAGAAAAAGCAGGCTGTCAGTCCTCCCACCCCTCGCGCCTCTGCTTGAACCACGTCACTGACTCCAGCACTGCGGAAATAAGAGACTCACGGCCGCTGCTTACCCGTGTCTCCGATTATGATGTATTTGAAGAGATACGCGTACGCCATGGCCAGCCGGTCCTGTATTAACCTGTTTTGGCCTTACTAAATGGGCTCCTTGAAGCTAAAACCGCAGGGAAAGTGTTTGTGATATATGCCTCCGCTAAGCCAGCGCTTTTCTCTCCTCGACGGGAAGGAACAATAAACACCTCGAGCTCCAGCCGGCCTACGTCACACGTCCCGCCTTCGCCACGCACGCAGAGCAGAACAGAAGAGAAGAGGCTGTGGACTTCACCGGAAGTTCACTCACTGAACCGCTATGTGTCAGGTCAGTGACAGTGTTCGTCGAGAGGGCTGAGGGACAGTATGTCCTTAGACGTCGTGTTCGTGTGTTTTGATCTCTAGACACTTTACAAGAGAATACTTATCCTTCCAAAGCTTCAGACTTTAGAGATGTGATAACTTAAAAGTGAAAGTGGCAGTGAGTGGAGTTCAGAATGAGCATCTCCCAACAATTTTGAAACAGCAAAGCTAACGATTCTCCCTTTTAAAACCCAAAATTAATCAACCACATTTATCTCTCTGGGAAAAAATGCATTTAAATTAGGGCAATACCTTTAAAAGGACATTTTTGTCCCCAAAAGGTTTATAGTAGTACCTTAAAGTCGGCATTAAATGAAAAATGCATTTATTTTCTAATTGCATGTTTTAGATCTTTGCATATGATGCATGTCTTTGGATTGTGAAGGAGACCCACACAGACAGAACATGCAAGCTCAACACAGAAAGGCCTCTGGCTCGATATTGAGAGCTTCTGCTGTGAGGCAACAATACTTCCAGTGAAAATGACAGACTTCTCTCAGGTGACATATGCAGGAATTTATTTATTTAGTCCATTTAAACCCACCCCTGTACGATCGCATTCATCTGCCTCTACTTTTGCAACACCCACATCTCAAAATTCAATCAACAACCAATGCATAGAACAGCGCTTCCCAGACCTGTCCTGGAGGCCCTCCTGCCCTGCACCTTTTGTATGTCTCCCTTATCTAACACACCTGATTCCACTCATCAGCTCGTTAGTAGAGACTGCAAGAACTAAATTGGGTGTGTCTGATTAGGGAGACATACAAAATGTGCAGGGCAGGGTGTCCTCCAGGACAGGTTTGGGAAGCACTGGCATAGAAGTTTTCCTACATTTTTTTCAATAATCTGTTACTCTCAGAGGAAAATATCGTTTTCTGTTTGTTTTATCATGACTTTAAATGGATAGTTCACCAAAAAAATGAAAATTCTGTCATAATTTACTCACCCTGAAGTTGTTCCAAACCTGTATGAAATTCTTTCTTCTGCTGTACAAAAAAAAAAAAGAAGATATTTTGAAGAATGTGGGTAACCAGACAGTTAACGGTAACATTGACTGACATAGCATGAAAAAAAAATACTATGGAAGTCAATGGCTACCCTTAACTGTTTCAGGGTGAGTAAATGATGACAGAATTTTCATTTTTGGGTGAACTATTCCTTTAAGGTTACATATCACTATTCTAAGGTACTAATATGCATCTTTTAGGGGTAGATTAGGTACTGCCACCGTAACAAGCTGTTGTATCCCTAAAGGAAGAATGTTATGATAATTTTTTTTCCTATGACAGATTATTCTGGGGAGATGTCCCCAGCCTTTTTTTCTGGTTCTTTTTGTCATTAGGAATTTACTTTTTATGCTATGTATTATTAATTATATTTAGGCACATTTTTTGTCCTCATGTAGAGACCTGTCCTGGTGTACAACTGGGAATGTTGTCCCAGGCACTGTGATGAAGAGGGCCCACTAATGTCCTTTATAGTATAGCCTACTCTTTGAGCCTGGTGGAGAAGGATAAATGTATTCTAATATTGTAGAATACATTTAAAATATAAATAGGTATATGATGCCTGAAAAATAAACAGATAATGAGAAGATGCTACTATTTTGACTATTTGAATTTGTGGTGAAGTACATTTCATGAATTGAATAATATACAGTATATAAAGAGAAAGTGTAAAATCTGATACGCTAGATAGAATGTGTATCATCCAATGACAGTTTAATGAACCAATGAACACCAGCATGATTATTGTATAATATTGTCATGTTGTAGCTTACTACAAATCATTTGCATTTTTTCTTAGAATTAATCTTTTTTTTTTTGGTTTTCAGACACAAGCAAAGAATATTCTTCTTCAAAAAAGTACAAACACAATATGTGACCCTGGACCACAAAACCAGTCATAAGGGAAACTGAGATTTATACATCACTGAATAAATAAGCTTTCCATTGATGTATGGTTTGTTAGGATAGGACAATATTTGGCCGAGATGAAAATCTGGAATCTGAGGGTGCAAAATAATCAAAATATTGAGAAAATTGCCTTTAAAGTTGTCCAAATTAAGTGCTTAGCAATGCATATTACTAATCAAAAATTAAGTTTTAATATATTTACAGTAGGAAATTTACAAAATATCTTCATGGAACATGATCTTTATCCTAATGATTTTTGGCATAAAAGAAAAATCAATAATTTTGACCCATACAATGTATTTTTGGCTATTGCTACAAATATACCCCAGCGACTTAAGACTGGTTTTGTGCTCCAGGGTCGCATATATATTGTGAAAGTTTGATCTCTAGAATCGTTAAACCACTAACACAATATTTCTTAATATTTCACATTCACCATAATTCTGAATTTCATTATTGTCATATTTGTATCCATATTTCAATTTAAATGCTTTTAGTTTACAGATGCAAATAATTAAACTGTAATTTTTGTTCTAAAAAAGTCTCAAATCCAAAGAGATATTCTTTATGAAAGTTAAGAGTCAACCACACCTACCTAAAACAGCTCGTTCTAACACATCCCCACGTCTACGTCACAATGTGGGAAGATTTGCATAACACCACCCAAATGTTCACACAAAGAAAGAAGGTGTAACTTTTATTCTCGCTGTAGTATTGTTGTTGCCGCCGCCATGTTGTGAAGGCGCTGTGTGTTTCGTTGTGAAAGCGAAACTACTTTGTTTGGCCTTCCAAAAGAGGACGATATCTGCTTCGTCATGCCTGGAGCTGATACGTGCTGGTCGCTGAGGAAATACATCAACTTCGCGCTGTGGATCGCCGGATCGGCTTTCACCATGGACTAAGCGGAGTCCAGCCCGGGGTCGTCACATGTGGTTGCCACAAGCCCGCCGGCCACCGCTCACTCAAGCTGGCCTCCGCATACTCTAGCCCGCCGTGTGTTTCATTGTGAAAGAGAAACTACTTTGTTTGGCCTTCCTGTAGAGTAGCGTTTGTAGTTTGTCATTTCTCCGATAAAATTTTGTAAAAATCGACGCGTTTCAGAAAGGCGGGGCATAGAGGAGAAACAATAATCAGAATCAGAATCAGAATGAGTTTTTATTGCCAGGTATGTTTACACATACGAGGAATTTGTTTTCATGACAGAAGCTCCACAGTGTAACAGAATGACAGTGACAGAACAAAAACACAGATAATAAAAAATTGAAAAATAGAACAAGTAACTAAGGAATAAAAATATACAAATCGACAATTGTATGTACAGGTATATAACAATAGACAGTTAATGTGAATCATTTTTTATGGCTGTGTAGCGATCCTCATATTCCAGCAATTAAGTAATAATGTTTTCTTTTCTTTATTGTGCACACAGTTGCAATAATCATTTTTTTATGTCAGCAAACTGTCCATCAAACTGGAAAGACATGATTGTTCTTGTTCAGACAGACACAGGAGTCAAAGTGCATTAACCATACTCCAATGTCAATGATGCTATTTGGGGTTAAGTGCTTTGCTCTGGGCCACAGTGATGGTGTAGAGCTGGATGGTTCTAGACTTAAATCCATTGCACGCGTGAAGGGGCAGGCAATGTCTACAAACCTCCCCTTACCAATCTCCATTTAAATGAATATATTAAGATATTGCAAGATTTGTAATGCACTGTATATGTAATAAGCTAATGAGAGGAATAGACCATGTGAGCTTTACCCTAAAGACAGTTGGTTAAGGTATCAGAGATGAGAGAAAGACCTTGATGAACTATTAAGGTAAATTACCTTTAATGGACTTCCCCTGCAAATTTCTGTATTTACTTACGTACCATGTCTTTGATTTACTTCACATTTAGTCTTAAAGGAATAGTTTACCCAACAATTTGTTTAAATTTTAATCAAGCTCAGGCCATCGTAGATGTAGATGAGTTTTCTTCATCAGAAAAGATTTGGAGAAACTGAATTACATCACTTGTTCCCCAATGGATACTTTGCAGTGAATGGGTGCCATCAGAATTAGAGTTCAAACAGCTGATAAAAAGATCACAGTAATTCACAAGTAATCCACACGACTACAGTCCATCAATTAATGTCTTGAGAAGTGAAAAGCATTGTGTTTATAAGTAACAAATCCAGCATTAAGAAGGTTTAACTTTAAACCATTGCTTCTGGTCAAAATTTAAACCAAAACCATGTTGTAATCTCACATCAAAATCCACTGACATATTTGTCTAGAACAGTTTTATACAGTTTTTGCTTGTAAATGGTGCATGCTCTGTGCATATTTCTTTCCTGAGTCAGACAAAATAACTTTTTGGAGTTAAAATCCAATGCTTTTCAATGGACCTGTTCATTTATGAATTCAGCTGGATTGGTTGCAGCAGTTAACGATTCACGGATTCAATATTTCTAGCAAGTCAGGCCTGATGGTCATCCTGCATAGATATCTTAGACATTATTTATTTATTTTTTATTTTTATTTTTTATTAGATTTGTTTGCCCCCACTCACTTCATAAGCAAGGTCAAAGGTGAGTCAGAAATGAAAATTGTTCTATTAATCATAGCTTTCTGTATCAAACCACTTGCATTCTTAGTCTATGAGGATATTGTCATGTCTTGTAATGTCCACTAGAGGACAGTGCTGTAATCTTGTGAAACTGCCCTCAAACAGTGAAATAATTATTCAAAGTATTCAAATGAATTCAAATTCCTCAAACACTATACCAGAAACACCTTCCTGATAAAATGCTTGTTTTGATGCCTGCAAATGCAGATTTCCCAAAATATCTGATCAAATATAGATCTAATATAGATTATGCTGAGATCACATGACAACCCTGTTCTAGTCCCTGAGCTTTGGGGAGTAAAACGACCTACTTCTAATTAATTAGGTAATGATTGCACTTTTGTGTAATGTGCTGCCTTTAATTTGAGAAAATTAGGGTCAAATTAGTTTCTTAGTATAGAA